ACCGGATCAATTCCTCAAACTTGGCCGCGTACTCCCCCACCGACATGTTTCCTTGCTCTAATTGCAAGAACTCCATCTCCTTCTTCTTTTTCAGGTCTGCAGGGAATTATTTCTAGAGGAATTTACTCTTGAAGGCTCCCCACATGATGATTTGCCCTTCAGTCTCCATCTGCCTCTAGGCCATTTCCCACCAATTCTTAGCCTCCTTCACTAGCAGGTAGGTGGCGTATGCCACTTTCTGAGCATCAGAACAACTCATGACCCTGAAGATTCTTTCCACTCCTTGGACCCATTCAATGGCGGCATCAGGATCGAATCCACCTTGAAACTGCCTGGGGTTCCTCCTGCAGAATTCATCCAGACCTCGGTACTCAATCGGCCCAGAGGGAACCAATGGTTGCAAACTCGGACTTGGTGTCACGTTCTGGTTTCAGGTGCTGCAAGTTCTCATTCATGTTCATCAGCACAGCGGCAATCTGGGCCAACAAGTCATTCTGATCTGATCCTCTTCCTCTTCCTCTTCCAGACATCTCTGTAACGCGTACCTACACTCATTCATTTGTTAGTAAACCATGTTTAACCAGACAAATCATCACATAACCACACAACAATTCACTTAATTCACATAGTTAAATCAAATAGAGGTTCCAAAGAAGCAAGTAAGGTCATACCCTGGGCCGCATGATTAACTATGCTATGATACCATATTGTAAGGACCAAAATTTCTACCCTTGAAATTTTTTCGTTATTTTATTCTAATTTCATGCATTCTCCTATAAATTTTAATTACCAATTGAATAACCTTATTTGAAAACCTCACTTTATTTTTCTCTCTCAATCCATGAGCCAATCCATGCCTATTTGTTTGAGGATGATAAGGAGATTCGACTTTGTGTCGGACTCCAAAATGTTGAAGGACCTTTTGTAGTTGTGCATTGCAGAAGTGTGATCCTCCATCACTAATTAGAACCTGTGGTGTGCCAAATCTGCTGAATATGTTTCTCTTCAAAAATTTCACCACGGTGTTGCCATCATCCTTTGATGCAGCTACAGCTTCCACCCACATGGACACATAGTCCACCACTACAAGTATGTATAAGTGTGAATGTGACGGTGGAAAAGGTCCCATGAAGTCGATCCCCCAACAGTCAAAGACCTTAATCTCTTGAATATTAGACAGCAGCATTTCATTCCTTTTGGTGATTCCGCACGTCCGTTGACATTTATCACATTGCTGAGAAAATTGATGAGCATCCTTAAACAAAGAGGGCCAATAGAAACCTGATTGAAGGACCTTAGCAATTGTCCTTTCTCCATTAAAGTGTCCTCCATACTGTGATTTGTGATAGTGCATAGAATGCTTTTTGCTTATGCCGAAGAGACACACCACCTTAATAATCCATCCAACCAAATCTTGAACAGATGAGGGTCATCCCAAACGTACTGACGGGCATCTCTGAGGAACTTTTTATTCTGGTGCCATGTGAAGTCGGTAGTGAGCACCCCTGCAGCTTTGAAGTTGGCCATATTAGCAAACCATGGCCTCTCTTGTAACACCAACAGCTTTTCATCTGGGAACTCTTCCACCACCTCAAGTTCTATGCTAGTTACTTCCTGATTCATCAACCTTGACAGATGGTCTGCTACACAGTTTTCACTTCCTTTTTTCTCCTTGATGACAAGATTAAATTCCTGCAATAGCAACACCATCGAAGCAATCTCGGTTTTGAATCTGATTTGGTTAGTAAATATTTGATAGCAGCATGATCAGAAAATATGATACCTTTAGACCCTATCAAATATGATCTAAATTTTTCCAATGCATACACAATTGCTAGCAATTCTTTTTCTGTGGTACCATAGTTAATCTGTGCCTCGTTTAAAACTTTGCTAGCATAATGTATAGCACGAAAAACTTTAGATTTCCGCTGGCCTAGTACAGCTTCGACTGCATAATCACTAGCATCACACATCGGTTCAAAATGTAAATGCTAGTTAGGAGCTACTATGACAGGAGCAGAGACAAGTTTTTGTTTCAACATTTCAAAAGCATTTGTACACTCAACATCAAAATGAAAAACACTATCTTTGTTAAGTAGATTACTGAGTGATTTTGCAATTTTAGAAAAATCTTTGATGAAACATCTATAAAAACCTACATGTCCAGGGAAACTTCTGATTCCCTTGACATTAGTTTGTGGTGGTAACTCCTTGATGACTTCAATTTTAGCCTGGTCCACTTTGATACCTCGAGCAGATATTTTATGCCCTAGAACCACTCCTTCAGTCACCATGAAGTGACATTTCTCCCAATTTAGCACCAAATTTGTTTCCATGCTTCTCTTCAGCACTATGTCCAGATTTGCTATACAACCCTCATATAATGACCCAAAAACTGAGAAGTCATCCATGAACAACTCAATACAATTTTCCACCAAATTTGAGAAGATGGCTAGCATGCACCTTTGAAAAGTTGCTGGTGCATTACACAACCCAAATGGCATTTTCCTATATGCGAAGACACCAAATGGACAGGTGAAAGCTGTCTTCTCCTGATCAATTGGGTCGACCGTGATCTGAATATATCCGAAATATCCCTCCAAAAAGAAATAGAATGCTTGTCCAACCAGTCTTTCGATCATCTGGTCCATGAATGGCATAGGAAATTTATCCTTCCTAGTTGCTTGGTTCAATTTCTGATAGTCTATATACATTCTCCAGCCCGTGACCGTTCTGGTAGGGATTAACTCATCTTTATCATTCTTCACTACAGTCATACCCCCTTTCTTTGGCACCAGTTGAACCGGACTCACCCATGCACTATCAGATATTGATAGATCATTCCTGCATCCAGAAGTTTCATGACCTCCTTTTTCACTACCTCTTTCATAGTAGGATTTAGACGCCTCTAAGGTTGCGCAACTAGTTTGAAATCCTGCTCCATGTGAATCTTGTGCATTCAATATGAAGGACTAATTCCCTTGAGATATGATAATGTCCAACCTATAGCCCCCTTATTTGCTTTCAACACATCAAGCAGTTTTCCTTCTTCCTCATTTGATAAAGTGCTGCTGATTACCACAGGTTTATTGCCACCCTCCTCTAAAAATGCATACTTCAAGTGTGAAGGTAACATTTTTAGTTCCAATTTCGGAATTTCTGAATTTTTGTTTTCAGATAATTCCTCAATTGGAACCTTCTGAGAGGGCATCTCTCAGAGTACATCCAACTCCGCTACACACTTCTCAATACACAATTCCTCTTCTGCATCTCAACTTTCAAGCTCACCATTCAAAACTTTCTCCAAGGGACTGCCTCTATTCACATACAAATCCCTCTTCATATATATCTCATCTATGACATCCACCCTGAAACATTCCTACTTATCCTTCGGATGGTGCATTACCTCAAATACATTGAAATTCACAATATCATCTTGCACTCTGACCTTTAACTTGCCCTCATCAACATCAATAATTACCCTGGCAGTTTTCATGAAAGGCCTCTCCAAAATCAATGGAACTTCAGTATCTTCTTCTATATCCATAATCACAAAGTCAACTGGAAATACCAACTTATCCACCTTGACCAAGACATCCTCTGCAACTCCATAAGGATATTTCATTGATCTATTTGCCAGCTGCAGAGTCATCCTCGTAGGTTTTACTTCCAAGTCTCCAATTCTTCGTAACATGGATAGAGGCATTAAATTGATGTTAGCACCCAAATCGAGCAGTGCCTTTCCCATAGATAATTCTCCAATGGTGACTGTTATTGTGAAACTTCATGGATCCTTAGATTTTTTCGGCAAAGACTTCTGAATAATTGCACTACATCCAGCTTCAAGTGTCACCGTTTCCTTAGAAAACTTCCTCTTTTTTGTCAACAAATCTTTCATGAATTTAGCATATGTAGGCCTCCGTTCCATAGCCTCCATGAAAGGTATGTTGATTTGAAGGCTCTTGAATATATCCATGAACCTTGTATATTTTCTCTCCTTATCCTTCTTCAAAATGTTTTTCGGATACGGAAGACTCTTCAATTGTGGCATATCAATCTTCTTCTGCTCACTATTCACAATTCCCTCATCTTTGGTATCTCTAGAAACATTTTTTTCTTCCTCACTCTTCTTTTAATTCAGCAACTCCTCCTCTACTGCCAACTTTTTATCAAAATATGGACTAATCACCTTTCCAATTCGAGTAGTGATAGCTTTGAAATGCTCCTTAGGATTGGTTTGAGTATTGGCTGAGAAATGTCGGCTATCAGAATTTTGCTCTGCCATATGTTTTGCCAACTGACCCACCTGTGTTTCCAGATTCCTGATAGATGCTTCAGTATTCTTCTGGTTAGTCATTGAAGCTTGCATGAACTTCTCTAATGTATCTTCCAATTTGGTTTGCCTTTCATGCATTGGTGGATGCTGACTTTGTTAGAATGGTTACTGATAAGGTGGTTGTCTGTTTGAAGATCCTGATTTTGGCCTCCAACCATAATTCTGATTTTGATTACCTCTCCAACCTTGTGAGAATTGACCATTATATGAAAGGTTGTTGGGGAAATTGCCTTGTCGAGGCGGATTATTTATATACTGCACTTCTTCCTCTCGAGTGTTACCTAGAATTGCACAGTGACCAGTTGCGTGCTCACCCACACAAAACTCACATCTCAGCACCTGTTGTTGACCCGGAGCAGATTGCACATCATGCAATTGTTGCGGTAACTTCGACATTTGCTTTGTCAGTGCTTCAATTTATTGTGTCAGAATTTTGTTTTGTGCCAGAATGGCATCAGAAGTGTTCAGATCCAGCATTCCTCTTATTTGTACTGACCGCCGATTGTGATGTGCTTGCCTATCTGTTGACGATAAGGCATTTATTATCCTTGTAGCTTGTTCAGCGTCAACAACCATCATTGTTCCACTTGCTACTGCATCTAAGATCATTTTGGTTTCAGGATTCAGCCCATTGCAGAATATGTTGAGTTGATCTACATCCTTGAAACAATGATTAGGACATTTTCTTAGCAGCACCTGGAAACACACTCATGCTTCATAAAAGGCTTCATCGGCACCTTGTCGGAATGTTGATATTTCAAACTTTACATGCACATTCCGAGCTGGTGGAAAAAACCGTGTCAAGAACTTTGATTCCAGATCATTCCAATTGGTTAAGCTTTGGGTTGGATGAGATTTTAACCATTCCTTAGCTTCACCAACTAGAGAGAACGGAAACAACATCATGTATGCAGCTTCTCTTTCATTATCATTGTACCCCATGGTTGCCACCAATTCATAGAAGTTGTCCAAATGTGCATATGGATCTTCATAATCCTTCCCAAAGAATTGATGTGTACTGATCAAATTTAGAAAAGCTGGCTTAATTTCTACTATCCTTGCAGTGTGTGGAATGACAATGCTGGAATAGTGCCTCGGACCTTGATACATAGCATAATCACCCAACGTCCTTCTCGGAGGGTTAGTCCTCTCAGTATTTCCCGGAGGAGTGTTTGTATCATCCATCTTGATGGATTGAGTGTCTGGAATTGTTGTATGTTGAGAACTAGACTGTGCACCCTGCTTCTTCTTAGCTTTCGCTTTCTTCCTATTACTCTTTGCTGATTTTTCAATCTCAGGATTAAACTGCAATTGATCTTCAGTAGCTTTTCCTCTCAAAAGCATAAATGAGAAGACTACAACAAGGGTTAGCACATAAATTAATAAAAACTAAAAATTAAATAAAAAATTATTTACACTACTCAATAAAATTTATTCTGAAATTCAATATAAATCGCCTATTGCTCCCCAACAGCGGCACCAAAAACTTGTTAGCTATTTTCGTATGGCAAGTGTACCGTATCGCTCAAGTAATAAAAACGTTAAATACCAGGATATCATCCTCATGGAGAAAATTAGATTTTTATCTTAATCTCTAAAGATATAAATTGAGTAAATATTTACAATTGACGGTTCTGATAAAAGTCATTGGATATTTTTGTATTTTCTTAAAAGGTTTGATAAATTTTGATAAAAATGGTTGGGATTGACTTTCATATTCTTCCTCTTTGTAAACTTTAGATTCAATTCTATAAATCTCTTTTGGTTATTGATCTTGATGCACATCACGGATCATTTGTATCAATTCTTTGAATACAAAATCCTTAGATAATTCCTCAAATTCCAATCCCTTGGTAATTTGACAAATTATCTAGCATTAAACCGGATGTATAAGCAATTCATGTATCATTGTCTATTCCTAGATCAATAATACATCAAGAAAAGTTATCCGGATTCAACCATACGTGTCACTTTCCAGTTAAACATGGGTAAAATATCGAGATTCTAATACCTAAATAAAATCAAGCATTAAGCAAAGAATAAGATTTCCAAATCAAATAACTAAACATAGAACAAATTGAATCCAAGAATACGAGAGTTTAGAAGATTACATTCAATCCCAACACTGAGAAATTAGCCGCCCATTCTACACATTACGGTCATGAAAATGCATAAAACTACAAGAATCTAGGCTTAGGGTCGTTCCCATGACTCTCTCCTTTCTCCTTCGTGCTTCTCTCTCTAGAAAACTCCTAAAAATCTCTGTAATGGCAAAAGGTAACGTCCACAACTTTTGGAAACCGCCTATATGAACTTCAGAATTTTGGTCTCTCGCTTGGGTGAGATATTCTCGCTTGGACGAGAGATTCTCGCTTGGGCAAGAATCCTTCAGTAGGTGTGGCTTGTGGTCACTTGTCTCTCGCTTGAGCGAGAGATCCTCGCTTGGGCGAGACTTCTTCAGTAGGTGTGCTTATGAGCCACCGTTCTTAATTTCTTCCACTTTTCACCTTTTCCAATCACCATTAACCTACAAGTGATAATACTTGTGTAAGTTTTCCAGACCAAATTAATTATGCTAGATTAATACGAGTTTGATTAATATTTTCATCAAAGTTCACAAATAAGTGCCCCAATTTATATGCAATTTACTCGTTATATGGCACTTAACAAACTCCCCCAAACCTAGAATCTTGCTTGTCCTCAAGCAAAGTATTGGAATTCAACTCAGTTCTTACACCTGTCAACCAATCATGTCAATCACCTATAATCATTTACAAATGTTGCAAAGAGATGTTTACTGATCAATCAAAGTGAACCAAATTCCAATCGAAATCATGATATGTATGCACTTCAATTTCAAAAAGAATAACAAGAATAACTACTCAGTTCAACAAAAGGAACTCTCATATTCTCACCGGACAAGTGTTTCACTCAATTTTTACTGGAAGTATATAATTTGACTTTGCCTTTCATTTCAATTATGCCAAATAAACATGTTCAACAAAAGATCCTAAGGATTTAACTTTTGGTTGTAATGAGGCCTGGCTACAACGAAATATGGTATTTCTGGATATACAAAGGGAGTTAGAACACTAGTGCATATTCGTACTTCCTTCACTTGTTCACTTTATAACCCAAACCACATCTCATATTCTCAGCTATTTGATTCTCATTCTTTTTCACTTGACCCTTTGTTTTGGATCCTTTTAACAAGATGCATATTTTCACTAACATTTGATTATTTTTATTCATATGCTTATCAGTTACACACTTAGAGAATGAGATGTTGAGTTCCTCTTGTTTTTATACACTACAATTCAAGTCATTGCCCAATATCACAATTTCAAACCATATACACTAGTGTTCTTTCTCCAAAGGGATGAGATTGATATATCTCAATTTAGATTGGGTGCATGATGTTCAAAAATATTAATTTGGCTCAAAAGGGCTACAAAAAATTGGATCATGACACATAAGGGTTGGCTCTTTGGCTGTAGTTTAACTCTCCTAGACTAGGCCTTAGTCATTTCTATCATATTCCATGTTTAATTGGCAACACAAATATCAGGCAAAGTTAATTGATAGTATCTAGCAAAATCACTCAATTGTGTTTAGATGCCCTCTCTCACTAGGTTTAAGGTTCATTCCTTTTGTAAGGACCCAAATTCTACCCTTGAAATTTTTTCCTTATTTTAATCCATTTATACATACATTCATCATTACACTTTGATCACTCATTAATCATTACTTAAAATTCTTTTAACATGTCATACTACAAACACTCTTCATATGACAGAAAAACATAATTCATTCATATCATTCCCCATGGGTACTAAGAACCCAAAAGTTATAATCCTTCAAAAATAGCAGTACACATGGTTACGAATATCCAAATAAATGTTAACCATGGTTACAATCATTCAAATCCGCAAGTAGTAATTTAAAGTACAAGAACGTAAATAGTGAATCCAAAGTCTAAAGCTCCCAGCCAAGCATCATCGGTTCATTTGTTCACCTACAATGGGATTATCAATGACAAATACACAAAGCACGCAAAGGAGTAAGTCGTCAATTCAATAAATATCATTATAAGATAATCCACATTTTTAAAGGGGTTAGTAAACCATTTTAAATTCATTTTCGCTACCTAACTTGAGCCAAAGTATCGCTACATAACTTGAGCCAAAATATCGCTAAATTGCTTGAACCAAAGCATTGCTACATAACTTGAGCCAAAGAATCGCTACATCACTTGAGCCAAAGCATCGCTACATAACTTGAGCCAAAGTATCACTACATCGCTTGAGCCAAAGCATCGCTACATAACTTGAGCCAAAGTATCGCTACATCGCTTGAGCCAGAGCATCGCAACATAATTTGAGCCAAAGTATCGCTACATCGCTTGAGCCAAAGCTTCGCTACATAACTTGAGCCAAAGTTTCGCTACATCGCTTGAGCCAAAGCTTCGCTACATAACTTGAGCCAAAGTTTGCTACGTTGCTTGAGCCAAAGCTTGCTACATAACTTGAGCAAAAGTTTCGCTACATTGCTTGAGCCAAAGCCGCTATACCACTTAAGGTTAGCTAAAATAGATTTCCCTTTTCTTTTGAAAACGTGCTACATAACTTGAGCCAAAGTTTCGCTACATTGCTTGAGCCAAAGCCGCTACACTACTTAAGGTTAGCTAAAACAGATTTCCCTTTTCTTTTGAAAACGTGTTACATAACTTGAGCCAAAGTTTCACTACATTGCTTGAGCCAAAGCCGCTACACCACTTAAGGTTAGCTAAAACAGATTTCCCTTTTATTTTGAAAACGTGCTACATAACTTGAGCCAAAGTTTCGCTATATTGCTTGAGCCAAAGCCGCTACACCACTTAAGGTTAGCTAAAACAGATTTCCCTTTTCTTTTGAAAACGTGCTACATAACTTGAGCCAAAGTTTCGCTACATTGCTTGAGCCAAAGCCGCTACACCACTTAAGGTTAGCTAAAACAGATTTACCTTTTCTTTTGAAAACGTGCTACATAACTTGAGCCAAAGTTTCGCTACATTGTTTGAGCCAAAGCTTGCTACATAGCTTGAGCCAAAGTTTGCTACATAACTTGAGCCAAAGTTTGCAACAACTTGAGCCAAAGTCGCTAACCAATCATGGTCGGCTAAAAACGTGTTTTCTTTTCATTGATACACCATCAAATCATATACAGTAAATCCATGCAACCATTATTACAAACATACCCATATATGTTTATAATAAATAAACGACTCGCAACTTAATCATTTTCACAACCAGGAAATCAACACCTTTTCCGTTACAATACGCAAGTAAAAGACTTATCCTTACCTTGGTGAGTGTTGGGTTTGGTCCTTGGTAACTTTGCAAGTTCCACCGACACCGCCTCCAACTTTAGGATCTTTCCTCATTCCCACCATATAACAACAATGTTAGTCATTTATTCAAAATAACACATAAACAACTTATATTGCATCTTTAACCTTTCATGATATTCATACATTTTCAATGTTTCCAAACTACTTTCATTAAGAGTTTCCAAACATCTAAAACATACATATTCATATCATATTTCAACATTAAAACACATACTCGTCTTCTACATCTAACATTTTACCCATTTCCTATTTTACCACATTCTCATTTTGGGGGTTTTGGGGTTTTCATGAATCCACCCACAAACTCTTTCTATTCCTTGAATACCAATTGTAAACCAAGAGTTTACAAGAGAGAAACTAAATAAAACGAACCACAACTCA